TTATTGTAGCTTCTCCTGCAATAAAATCTTTGTTCACCTTCTTTTTTCTCTAGGGCCAAGTTGAGAAGAAGCAGGGAACCTTGCTTTGAACTAGATATTATTTGAAAAGGTTCTGATTATCTACGCCTATATGTTATTATATTTTAAGTGTCCTCCATACATAGTCTGATCATGTTGATTAACTTCTTTGAGTTTCCAGTGACCTGCAAATTATTCCACAAACTGCTTCTATGTTCTTTTTTCATTTTTTCGAGCAACATAATTGCATTGTGCTTGTTTGCAGCAAAGCTGTGATATTTGCACCTTTGGCTGACACATCCAACTTCATCAGGCGTTTGTCGACCTGGTAAACTTCCCAGATAGTTTTCGTGGGACAAGATGTAGTCTTACGGTAAAACTTCTGTCTTTAGGTAAAACTTCTGTTGTTACAGTAAATTATGGATCACTACACTATACACCAGTGTCACTTTGTCCACTATTGCCTGTAGCTCTTGAGCAGTTTGTTGCCTATCCCTCCCCTGCCTGTGTGCAAGAATATCATCTGCAAATGTCAGTTTCCTACCCACACCCGGTGTTTCAAGTTCTGCGGTCATGCTCATATAATTATTGAAGAGCACCGGTGAAGTTGCAGTATCTTTTACAGTATATTTCAAATAACTATGAAAGTATTATTACAGAGAAAAATTTAAATATCTTTGCACGGATATCCTAGGAAGGAGCTTCTCTTCCTACCAGAGCCATCCATTGGGCTCTGGATAATGAAGAATCCTCCTGATTTAAATACTATATAAAGAGTTGATGACCCAAAAAAAATTAGTCACACCTGGTGAGGGGAGATAATTAGAAAATATACAAGCGCACACTGAAGTCTTGGCATGTTATATGCCTCTGGACAGTTTGCAGTTACATTTATTTGCATATGTGGATTGAAAGTACAGTTTTGTTGATTAACCACTGAGTCGAGCACATTGTGCGACACTGGATTAACATGGAATGCTTTTGAGTTATGCTCAGGTGGTTTGTGTTGAGAACTGCAGAATGAGAAAATGGTGGTTGGCCTGGTGCCAGAGAAATGGTGGTGCCTTGTGCAGCATTGCATGTGCAACTACATATTTTATTGTTACTGCTGCTTCCATCAGCAATGAAATGCAGTTCTAGTGGCAGACTGTGTTGGCACTTTTGTCAGCTGCTGTATGAATTTATTGTGTGTATGCTGTTAGCTTTGTCAAAACTGTACCATTTCAGTTTGTTTCACATATTACAGTGATAGGCATTCTGTGAAATTTTCACTAATACAGTTGAGTTGAACCACAGATGCATATTTCTCTTTAGCATTCCCAGTAAAGTTACTTGAGAATTCTCAAGCAGAGACTGAGAAGTCTGGCAGAATCACCACTGATGGATCAGGCCCAATGCGGCTTCAGAGCAAATCAAAGTGCTCAAGACCTTCTCTTCACACTCAGACAGATGAGTGAAAAAGCCCTTGAATATAAGAGTGAGATGCACCTATGTTTTTTTGGGATCCAGAAATTCATTTGATAAGGTCCCCTGGGACAAGCTCTGGGACTGCTTGGCAGAGAAAAACATATCAGCACCTCTGATCAGTACAATACAGAGTTTCTACAAAAGCTGCAGAAATTATGTAAGAACACCTTACCTCTTTATTCTCATGATGGATGATGTCATCAAGACCTGTAAGGAGAAGACAAAGAAGTACACAGTGGGATAATGGAAAATGAGACCGATCTGTATATCAGAGCTGGCATTTGTAGACAACGTAGCCCTGATAGCTAAAACAGAGGCACATCTTCAAACCAACCTACTTGTGTGGAAGAAAGAGCTTGTGAAGAGAGGGATGACCATCAGTATCTCTAAAACTAAAACCATGGTGATCTCAAGAGAGAAGAAGAAACACCAGATCATGTTGGGACAGCATTGGAGCAGGTCAACCAGTTTAGATATCTTAGAGCTGTAATAGACCAAAATGGAGGCCTCAAGACAGAGCTGGCTACTCGAAAAGCAGCAGCTGGAAGACTTTTCCAGTCCATAAACTGAGGATTTCTTAGCAAAAGAGAAATAGGCAAGAGGACGAAAATGGCTGTTTACCACTCTAAGTACCAGCCAACAGAAGCCAGCTTCAGGTCTTAGAAGTAAGATATCTGAGAAAGGGGCTCCAGATGACTAGAAGGGACAGTTCGTAACCAGACAATACGTCAAGATCTTGAAAACCATGTCTTACAAATTCAAGTGGATCAATCACAGTTACGATGGTTAGGACATGTATGCTGAATGGGAGAAAATCGGCCACCATGGCAGGCATGGGAGACTAAGAACCAAGGAATCAGACTGCCAGGGCCACACAGGGTCCGGTGGGAAGACAACATCCGACAGTCTCTGATGGACAGAGGACTGGAATAGAACAAAGCCAAAAAGAAAACTGCTGACAGAGAAGTCTGGCGATCTCTCTGGCAAACCTCTACACCCCAAGGTAGAAGAGAAGCTACTAAGTAAGTAAGTAAGTACAGTTGAGTTAAAGTCAAGAATTAACATCACAGCAGCACTCAGGGCATTCCCATTTATGCTGTCCTCATCTTCAGCAGCCAGCTCAGAGTTCCAGTACTGATGGTACAAATCACAATCTGGTTATGTGTCTGTCTTGCCTTTCTTCTGAGTGTAGTGAGCCGGCCAGACCCTTTGGTTAAACCTCATGCTCTCCAGGCCATAATAATCTTGTTTGTCTACTGATTCCATTGCTTGTTCCCAAAAGGCCTTGATCACATCTGCCTTGCCATGTATCAATTCACCGCCCAGTGGTGCAGATCCAGCGAATCTGTCTGCCTGTTCATTACTCACCATGCCGGCATTGCCTGGAGAAAAGATCGAAAGTAGGCTCACTGCCCATGACATCCCAGTGAAGCTTGCCAGTCTGCTCGAAGCATCCCTGTCTTCACCTTTTTCAGCATGCTTTCAGAGTCTGTTACAATTATGATGTGTGTATGCATCTTGTTCTCTAGCCACTAAAGAGCTGCAGTTACCGTTCCGCCTCCATTCTCATTATAGATGTTGTGTTGTCAGGCTGTCTTGCACTAAAGATTTTCCATTGGCTTTTGCTACTAACCCCCTCTCAACACCAAGCCATCTGTATAGATAATTAGATCACCTGATTATGAATTGTCGTGTATCAACTGTTGGACTTCCACCTCCGTAGCACCTCCGACCACTTTTTGCACTCCCGACTCAATGTGATCATAACCCTACACAGGTCAGACTTTTCCTCTTGTACTTTGACCCTCCTCTCCTCGCCCAGTGTTCTTCAGCATGCATACTTGTCTAATTGTGTCTTCTGCTTGAGCCGTGCACAATTTTCCTCTTTTCAGTCTTTGACCCTTACCTGCAGCCAAAGCTTCATACAGAGGGTGTTCTTTATCTGCAGCTACTCTGAAGTATGACTTAGCCTGCAGCACCTTTAGCAATAGTCATCAGTGCATATATCACATGCACACAATTAGTGTGTTTCTTGTACATCCCAGGATCACCAGCAAAGCTTCACTCTGTATGCACTCAAGTTTCTCTAGCTGACTCTTCGAGACAGTGAGTAACCCTAGTCCATAATCTATCACTGAGATAATTAAGTGCAGGTAAAGCGTGAACAGCATTCTCTGCTCCATGTCCATTGCTGCCATAATCTTTAGCGCATTAAGACCTTTTTGAGCCTTTATCACAACCCCATGTGATCCTTGAAAGACAAACTTCTGTCAAAGGTGATTCCCAGGTACCGCAGTCTACTGTCTCTGTTGATGTCCCTGCCATTTATTTTGAGTCTGGGAACATCAGCTCTAACAGTCCTGTTGTCCAAAGAACACCACAGGACGATTGCCATTTCTGGGTTGATTACAGCACTCATCTCTGTACACCAGTCTATCACCTTATCTGCTGTCACCTGTAACTCATCAGCTATTTGATTATGATCTCTCCCGTTCCTATATACGAGTACATCATCTGCAAATGTCAGTATTCTGCCAACTCCTGGTGTTTCCAGGTATGCAATCTTGCTTGTAAAAATATTGAACAGTACAGAGGTCCATGAACCCAGGCGAAGAGCTAACTGGTGAGTATACAAAATGACTGCAACCTTATTCACCAACCAAGGACAGACTTCCTTCTTCATAAGCACTTTCATCAAATCAAATCAAGCACTTTCATCAAGATACTATATCTAACTCTGTTGTATGCATCTTCTAAATCAAGTGCCGTTGCCACCGCTTCCTGTCTGTTCTGGAAATCTTAGAAGGTGTCAAAGGCAAAAGTGGCTGCATTTGACCATGTGTCCTTCCCTGGCCGGTAACTTCCTAAACCTTGTGGAAGGAGATTTTTCTGTTCCAAAAATTCTTGTAGCTTACCCGCCACTATCTTCTCCAGCACAAAGGTGTTTTGTAGGGTAATGATCCTAAAGCCGCTGAGTGTTGAATGACTCTTGCCAGGCTTGAGAAGTGGAATCAAGTAGCTGTGCATCCACTCTTATTGGACTGAAGCTGTCCTAATGCTCTGTTTGAAGCAAGCAGTCATCTCCAATAGGTCTGCATCACTCATGTCTTTCATGTGGGAATATCCAACCCCATAGGGTCCGGGTGCAGTGTCTTTCGCCTTTTTCAGAACACGTTTTACATCTTCTACCTGTATGATGTCTTTATAATGTTTGATCGTTAAGATGGCTGCCAGATCTTCTCTTAACTGTATTTCTGTTATCTCTATCTAATGGCCACACACAACAAATGTTTTAAAAATTAAGTGGAAAGTTTCTACATCAGGTAGAAGGCAGAAGAAACTTTATGACTAATTGACTTGTTTTCTTTAGTAATGTTGATCCGTTAAACTGTCCATATCTTATCCTACATTTTACCTGTATGTAAATTTTCCTACAAAATAGCTGCCTATTGTTTCAAATAAATTAACTTTAGGTGTATTCTCCATCCACAGAAATCCTGACACAGACTTCCTTCATGAGTGACAGATTTAAAACTCCTCTTCTTGGAAATGTTAGGGATGAAGATTTTAATCAAGTGTACGAGCCTGCAGAAGACTCTTTTCTTTTGCTGGATGCACTGGAAAAGGAAGATAATTTTCTGCAAACTTTAAAGTTAGATTTTATCTATTCTGGTCATGTTACACTTGGCAGTTAATGCAAATTTGCTTTTATTCTTAACAGGTGTCACATATCACTCATGTCACGTGCCTGATTTAAGGATTTCTCCTTAAGAACCAACAGCACTCAGAAATAATTATGTTGAGTCGTTTGGCTCGTATTGGTCTAAGGGATGCCCCGTGGCCAATATACGCTCAACTTATTTCTGGAGTAGGGCAACTCAAGTTTTGGCACTACAAAATATATATATATAAATATAATATTCCTAGGCACACTTGGCTGGACACCCCCACTACTATAAAAAGATAGCCCCCAGGTTATGATAGTCTACTATCATAACCATGTTAACACATATAACAATTATTATTCATACACACATCAATGCTAAACAATTAGAAAGGTGAAATAGAGACACCTAAGTCAGCCATGAAAATGAATGTATGTAATAAATACAAATTATTTACACAAATAGAAGAATACTGTTCCAGAATGTTCATAGTATCAGACTCAGAGCCACGACTCAGATATTGAAACAGCCAGATCGTCTAGAAGAGTATCTCAATGTCATCACCGGAAACAGTGGAGCTGTGGGGAATAGAGCATGATACTGAAACAAAACTGACACTTATCAGAGTTCCTATGTTGATGCTCCCCTCAGTCCATGGTGATTCGACTGTAGTTGACTCTGGTATCTCTGCCTCAAGTTGATCTGGTCACAGAGGAGTACCTCACCATCGAGGACACAAAAACTGTACAGGGACTCACAAAGTCTCTTCCACAGGTCAGGTCACAAACTGTCTCAGAGCCCAACCAGGCTCCTGAAGACTGGTACACTCGCTCACTGGCACAACCTCTGCAAATGTTCACTCGTCCTGAAGCTCACACCCACACTCTGGTCATGTTGAGTTAGTGGTACATAGAGCATGACATTGTTATGTCTGGTACACAAACTGTGGTTAGCTGGTGGTTAGTTGTTGTTGGATGTTGGTAGGACTGTGATTGCTCTGCCCGCTCTCTACAGAGGTTTCATCCTGTCAGGAAAGAACTCAGAATTAGTAATCACCAAGAGGGTATCATCTTGACAGGAAAGAACTCAGAATTAGCAATCAGTTTCCATCACACATCAGCCTACTCCACCTCTGCTCCTCTGTTACATTCCTCAGAGTGTACTCTCAAGACCAGGAGACAATGTCTCCTTTCATTTATCTGTCTGTTTAGTGCAAGAGATGGAAAGTCAGATATATATAGTGGAGATAGATAGACACTATCACACATTTATCATTCTCTTTCCCCCCTCACATCTGCACACAGACACCAATGTTTACAGTCAGTACCCATATCTCTTCCATCTCCTCAGGCTATTCACTACACACCCATGGATCTGTGTCAAACACACTCAAGGTAACGCGCTAGTTGCCGATAAGACTGACCTACATTCTCCGTCCCCGTTAATACTGCACAAACTTCTGTTGCTAGTTCAAAGGATAAATACTTGTAGGGTTCAATATATTTACCAATGGTGTGGGTTATTTAGAGCACAAACTATTTAGTCTGTACAGAAGAAGGTCTCAGGTTCGGATCCGGTTCTCAGGACATCAAGAACGGTCGAACTCTGTGCGATCACATAGCCGATACCACTCAATCTACAGCAGTGACCTTTTTAACAAGACATCATTTAAGGTACTCGTAAACTATAATTAACTTACCCAAGCTTAGGAAATGTCCTGGGCACTACAGGCCGCCTTCTCAAAGTATTAATTTATGAGGCGCTGATAAACACATCTGATCTCTAGGAATGCAGGCAGAAGAATGCCCGCTCTAACTTACGCTAGGCGTCAGTAGAAAAGAAGTCCCTTGTATACATGAGCAAGGAGTAAACCGGTTTCTAGGAATATTCAAATAAAACCCTAGAAATCATCAACCTACAGTTGCAAATTTGAAAATGACGATAAGTCAAAGTAACTAGAAGGTCTAGAAATTATTATTTTACCCGATAAAGGTATAGATCAATATAAGGAACTATATACCTTTCTGGACGGGTCTAAGTTTGAAATTTTTCTGAGCGCGGGGTGTACCAGGTCCCGACTCGTCTACTATGTGTAGTGGCGGTTCATTCCTTGACAACAGGTCTGCTGTTACCATGTTATTTGCAAGGTCCCCCCCCCCCCCCCCCCCCGTTCTTAAATAAGATTGTTTCTGCGCTTCTTTGAGTCTCAGTCTTGAAATGTTAACAGGTTTGCACATCCTGTTGACTCAGAATATTTATATTTTGACCTCCAGTTCAACTCTCTAACAATATTTGAAGTTTCCAAATAATACCTCACTGTAAGTGTTAAAACTGTCAGGTAATAAACATCCTCTGCTAACTCCTTCCTATTGCTCTGAATTCTCTTTCATACCTAATGGCCGATTCTTACAGTCTACAGTACTAGCTTCATAATTTCCTGTCACTCTTCACTGACTTTATTTTAACTATTAACTATCTGTCATCTGCTTCATTTCAGACTGCCATTTAGACTGTCACCATTTTGTGATTCTAGGACTTGCAATGCACTTTCATTTGTTAAGATTCATCTGAGATCCTTGCCGTGTGGTGTTGGTCATCATCTTTATACACATCCTTCTGCCATTTGTTTCAAATTTAGATGTTGCTCCTTGTGCATTCTTTCTCCCCTTCAAGATCAACTTCATCCAACTTTCCTCTGTCACAACATGCTCTGCTTTTATCCCTTATGATGTGACCAAAGAATGTGTCATTTCTTTTAAGGGGGCAGTCTGTTCTTTTTGTGAGCTAATTTTTGTAGGTCATCTTCATTACACTTTTTATATATCCAGGGTATTTTAATCTTTCTTTCTTTCTTTTGTCCATTTTCTACTTTGTACCGCTGGCATTACAAACTAAGGATGATTGGTTTCTGAGCTAGGGCGTGCTCGGTTGCCCTAAATGCTGTGATGTGGAGTATCAAAATATCAGTGACTCCTTGTCATCTCTGACCTCTTGGTGTTTCTACTTTCATTTTGTACTCTCTCATTGGCATCAGTGCATTCATTCTCATTAAATGGCCAGATCATTTCAGTCTTAGTTTTTCAATGAATTTAATTATAGCTTCTTCATTTCTCACATGATCTCTTCTAGTTTTGCTCACTGTCTTTTTTCAAACATCTCTTTTTGCAGGTGGCTAGTTTTCTTTCATGTTTTCTTTAGTCAGTATCCAAGTCTGAAACTGATAGCACAAAGTTGGTATGAAGATTGCATTGACATTTAAAAAAAAAAATCTCTGTTTGGATAGTCGGGTGTTTCAAAATTGGGGTTACCTGACATTGTTGGCTTGGTGTTTATTTCATTCTTATATAAAACCAGTCTCACCAGTCAGCTGATTGTTCATGATTCACTTCCATAAATCATGGGATTAGCTTTATTTTATAGATGGTTCAGTTTCACGTGGCAAAAGAAATGCCTGGAGCTCTTAGCAAAAGCTAATGGTCGTCTTTTGGTGCAGGAGAGCCTAGAATCTGATACCACAACATCCAGCCTAAGAATAGAAGTGGAAATACCAGCTGAAAAATATGTAGACGTCCAGAAAAGTAATAATGCATGTTTCACAGATTACAAAAAGGCCTTTGACATGAAAAGCTTATTGCATGCCTCCAAAATATAGGATTAGATGGAAAGGATATCAGCATTATTAGTAACCTATTAGCAACTGATATACAACAATATTGTCCCACCAATGATAGAGATAAAAGGAAGAGTACATCAAGGATGTGTGTTATCCCCAAACCTTTTTAACTTATATACAAAATATATTTTTAAACAAGCTGAATAATTGCTTGCATTAAGTATTAATGGAAGAACAATAAACAATCTGATATATGCTGATGACACAGTGCTACTGGCAGAAGTTACAAAACCTAGAGGATCAAGTCAATAGGTGGAGTGAAGAGTATGGTTTGTACATTATCATTAGAAAAACAAAAACTATGGTAATTAACAGTGGGAAAGAGCAACCAGCAAGGAACATCAAAGTAAGCAGAGAGATATCAGAACAAGTAACATGTTTCTACAATCTTGGACATGTAATAAAAGATGATGGCAGAAGTGAAACAGAAATTTAAAAAAAAATAGCAATGGCTGAAACACTCTTCAATAAGATGCACAAATTATTGACGGCTAGTGAGATAAACAGCAAATTAAAAATGTTATGTATGCTCAACCTTGCTGTATGGGGTAGACACTTGGACGGTGAGCAATCAACTAGACATTTTAAAAGAGTCAGGAAATGAACAAATGCAGAAGAATAGAACATACTTCTTATGTTATGGAAACAAAAACAGTCCAACACAGAGGATCTGGAATGACTGAATTAAAAGAGAATTACAGAAAGAAATTGTAAAAAAAAAAAGGACAATTGAAATACCTTGGCCGCATTAAAAGAGAACACGCTTTTAAAAACCATACTAGACGGAAAAGTCAAAGGTGAGAGACAACGTTATAAGTGGGAAGATAACATCAACGGATGGATTAATAGCAGTCTCAGAGAGTGTACAACCAAGACAAGAGATAGACTGCAGCCAATCTTCAATATGGAGACGGCACTTGATGGATTGGAGGTGGTCACTGCAGCTTTTCGTTGGCTAGAGAACGTGATACAGTACATACACACTTGATGATTGTAACTGACTCAGAAAGCATGCTCAGGAAGGTGAGGACAGGCATGCTTCATGCAGAGTGACATGCTGCACTTTAGAGGTCACGGGTGAAGAATATAGTCTAGATCTTTTATCCGGTTATGTCAGTGGATTGAATGAACAGGCAGACAGATTGGCTGGCTCTGAGCAACTTAGTGAAATATTGATGCATGATAAGGCAGACATGGTTGAGGCCTTATGGGAGCACATGTACAGTTCGAAGAAGCAAATTGATCATCAGTCTGGTGAAAGTGATGCACTGAGGAGTGATAAGGGGATCTGGCTGAAACTCTATACTCAAAGGAAAGGCAAGACAGACATATAATCAGACTGTTGCTGGCACCATTAGTATTTAAACTCTGCGCTTGCTGCTGAAGATGGGGATGGAGCGCTTATTTTAATGCCCCAAGTGCTGTGATGTTGGTTCTTGAATCAGATCAACTTAACTCTTACATCAACTAACATATTTTGCATAGATTTTTTTTGTTTGTTTGGGAAATTCAACTTTTGCTGTTTTATTTTACATTCAACTTATTTAATACATCTTCCATTTGCTGTGACCAAGGTACTGAACATATATAAAAAGTGGTCTCATAATTTACAGTGAACTCAATTACTCGACTTTAGTAAAACATATATTTGACCCAAATGGGTACCGGGGTTCAATTTTGCAGAAGAAATGAACAGACCCACTGCTCCCTAACAGGCATCTAATAGGAGGGGACTAATTAAGGGTGTTTTCCTTGAAATCAATGTCTGAGAGGCCAGGCAGTGAGTGTCTGCCTGAGAGGCCAGGTAGTGTGTGTCTGCCTGAGAGGCCAGGTAGTGTGTGTCTGTCTGAGAGGCCAGGCTGTGTGTGTCTGTCTGAGAGGCCAGTGAGTGTCTGCCTGAGAGGCCAGGCAGTGTGTGTCTGCCTGAGAGGCCAGGCTGTGTGTGTCTGTCTGAGATGCCAGGCTGTGTGTGTCTGTCTGAGATGCCAGGCAGTGTGTGTCTGCCTGAGAGGCCAGGCTGTGTGTGTCTGAGAGGCGAGGAACCAATATTCTGCATACAAATAAGCCAGATCTGTAAAAGATTTGTGCAGGTAGCACTCAAGTTACTGGAATACGACCAAAGTCGAGAAAGGTATAAACAACCAAGATTTTCCATTAGAGTGAAGGCTGAGGAGAAGAATAAACATGTACTAGTATGTTTCACAGAAATAATTCACAAAACCCGGTATTATCTTTCAGCACTGTTAGAGTTCATTGTTGTCTGCTGTGTGTATGTGTTCATTAATGTATTGTTGATTTTTTTTTAATTTGCTAGTTTTATTTTTTAATGAAATGCATTGTGGCATGTTTGAATAGTTGGCAGAGCTGGCATTAATGCATAAATATTTCACTCTTGAAATCATTTTCAGGCCAACTGTGTGTGTGGAGGTGGGCTGTGGCTCAGGAATTTGCATAACATTTCTTTCACAACTTTTGGAGTACCCTGCTTTGTTCATGTAAGTAATACCTTTTCTTTTAAGTATCACCACAGTTCAACAGATAACAGAACTCAAAAGTAATGTACTGCTGAAAAATAACAAATGAATTTCAAAACATTGTGTTCCCTTAGTAGATTTAAATAATGAGGTCACATATAATACATTGCACAATTTGTTACCTGGCATATTCTGTGTATCTCATTACTTGTATTACTACAGAGTTATATCAGCGTATAAGAAGCACCAACAAAAATTGTCCTTTCCACTAAATACACAAACACATGAATAATGGAAATTCAAGATATCCAAGTGATTACCTTAGAAGTTTGAACATTTACCTTCTTTTTCTTCTTCTCCTTCTCTTCCACCTTGTACCTCAGCGAAGTGTCGAAGGGATGAACATTTACCACATGCCCTTTTTGTTTGCACGATGCCGAATTGTTGTTTTTATTGTCACAGTTTCAACCCGTTTCAGTTATCACCTTTTGGTGTGGTAAATATCACAGAAGACATAGTCCCTATCAGTTGCATGACAAGAGTCAGCCTAATGATGCCCTACAGAAGAATTGGGATCTTTCCTCTTTGTTGATATTGACACACTTACAGAATCTCCACTAAATTGTCTTTGGAACCACATAGATATAAATGTTTAGCTACTCTGATTTTCTGTTTTAAGAATCTACATCATAGCACACCAGGCATATCCATAGGTTCTCCCATAGCACACCCGGCATACCCATAGGTTCTCCCATAGCACACCCGGCATACCCATAGGTTCTCCCATAGCACACCAAGCATACCCATAGGTTCTCCCATAGCACACCAAGCATACCCATAGGTTCTCCCATAGCACACCAAGCATACCCATAGGTTCTCCCATAGCACACCAAGCATACCCATAGGTTCTCCCATAGCACACCAAGCATACCCAAAGGTTCTCCCATAGCACACCAGGCATACCATAGGTTCTCCCATAGCACACCAGGCATACCATAGGTTCTCCCATAGCACACCAGGCATACCATAGATTCTCCCATAGCACACCAGGCATACCATAGGTTCTCCCATAGCACACCTGGCATACCCATAGGTTCTCCCATAGCACACCAAGCATACCCATAGGTTCTCCCATAGCACACCAAGCATACCCATAGGTTCTCCCATAGCACACCAAGTATACCCAAAGGTTCTCCCATAGCACACCAGGCATACCATAGGTTCTCCCATAGCACACCAGGCATACCATAGGTTCTCCCATAGCACACCAGGCATACCATAGGTTCTCCCATAGCACACCAGGCATACCATAGGTTCTCCCATATAGCACACCAGGCATACCATAGGTTCTCCCATAGCACACCAGGCATACCATAGGTTCTCCCATAGCACACCAGGCATACCCATAGGTTCTCCCATAGCACGCCAGGCATACCCATAGGTTCTCCCATAGCACACTAGGCATACCTATAGGTTCTCCCATAGCACGCCAGGCATACCCATAGGTTCTCCCATAGCACACCAGGCATACGATAGGTTCTCCATTTCCCGCAGCAAATTTCTTAAAGTGTACATGCTTACTGCTCTTGAAGCACACTAATTGTAAACTCATTGTTCTCTTCCTCTCTTAAGTCCCTCCTTGTCTTATCCACCCTAATTCCTTGTTCACACATTCTTACACATATTATTTCATCTAATCTCGTCTCTTCTGTCAGCATTTGTTCATAAATGGTCTACTTGGTCTAGTATCAGTGTTCCTTTAGCCATCGTTTTAGTAGCCAGAAAATCCACTCTTTCTTTTCGTTGCACTCCTGCATGTCACGGACAGTATATCCAAAGTATCCCTGTAATTTTGACATGCTCATTCTTGGTACCCACTCATGCTACATCTGTCCATTTTAAATCTTTCACGGTTACTCTATTTTGGTTACTCTTTCTGTTATCCACTTCAGAGCTTCAGTGATTGCCTCCACCTCCATCCTCATGCTTAAAGGTTGAGATTTAAAAATATAAAAAGCACCATTTTGTTTTGTCACGATCTTTCCCTTCATCTAGCTGAAAATCCCCAGCTTTCACCCTAATGAACAGAAGCATCTGTTTACACTGTTGCATCATCTTAGCGAGCCTTTTCATCTATCAGTTGTACCTCTAATTTTGCCATAACGTTACACCACTCTCTACACTCTCTTCCTAGTGTGATAATGACCTGATGGAAAATGCTGTTCTGTGTGTTCCAGTTGACCCATTCCCACCCCTGTCTATTTACTCAACTGATGCAACCAGCCCTATTTAATCTTAAGCCAGAGCCATCTATGATCTTCCTCTTTTCAACTGGTCTACTCTAGTCTTTCAGACTGCCATGCTGAAGATGTCTTTCATTGCTGGGAACTCACATGTGAGCCTTGGCTTGTGCCGGTGACAGCCTTGGCTTGTGCCGGTGGCAGCCTTGGCTTGTGCCGGTGACAGCCTTGGCTTGTGCCGGTGGCAGCCTTGGCTTGTGCCGGTGGCAGCCTTGGCTTGTGCTGGTGACAGCCTTAGCTTGTGCCGGTGGCAGCCTTGGCTTGTGCTGGTGACAGCCTTAGCTTGTGCCGGTGGCAGCCGTGGCTTGTGCCGATGACAGTCTAGACCAGTATTTCCCAGCTTTTTGTGTGCCGTACTCCACCTAAGCCTTTCTAAAATGCTTTTGCCCCCTATCCTATATACATAACCTCTGGATGAGTCCATTTTTGAATTGTCCCCCTAACAATGGAACTACCCACATCGGGAAACACTGGTCTAGACTTGATTAATGTCAGCACAGGTGTGTATACCTCATTGCTCTAATTGGTGTATCTTGTGTGCACCCCAAAACAATTCTCATTCCTACAGTTTAAATCCATTTATGTTTCGCACACTGTGAAGTGGATACTTTTAAAATCCCTAAGTCATAATCGACTACCGAAAGGACAAGATGGTTGAAGTTCAGCAACTCTGTTTCCAACAAATGAATAAAAATTGTTTTCTATCTAAAATTGTGAACAAAATAGGAAGTACTCTACTAATTTGTATATTTTTATTTTGTAAAATAGCTGTACTGACATCAACCCCAAGGCTGCAGAAATGACACAGCTGACTGCTCTTAGAAATGGTAAAGTGGTGGAAATAGTTGTTTGTAATTTGGTATGTTGTTTTATTATATTTATTGTGAAAATGTTTTCTGTTTTGTACATCATTGAAATAACTGAAATCTCATGTTGCCAATACTGTTTAATAAAAAGAATATGTTCGGTGTTTATCTTCTATTTTTGTTTATAGTTTTGATAATCTAATGACAATTCCTGCCCAAGTGATGTGATTGTATATACAGATGGCTCTATGTTGAGGAGCAGACGAAGTGCATGGGTGTTCATAGCGAAGGCAAATGGACGTCGCTTAGTGCAACAAAGCCTGGCATATGATATCGCAATGTCTAGTTTGAGAATGGAGGTGGAGGCAGTCACTGCTGCCTTCCGCTGGTTGAGAATCAACTGTACACACATGTCATTGTAAATGACTAATGGAGCATGCTGAGAAAGGTGGAGACAGGCAAGCTCCATGCAGAGTGGCAAGCATCACGTCAGACGTCCAGGGTAGTTAGCATCCTTTGAATATTTTCTCCAGATAATGCCGGTGTGTTGGGAAAAGAGCAGGCAGATAAACTGGCCGGTTCTGCACCACTTGGGGGGTGAACTCATGTATGAAAAGTTGGATGTTGTGAGGGCCCTTTGGGAGTGAGTTAACAGACCCAAGGAACCGATAGATCATTAGGGTCTGAGGAGAATGGCACTGCGAGGATTTACGAGGGGATCTGGCTGAAGCTCTACACTCAGGGGAAAGGCAAAATGGATATAAAACAGTCAGTAACAAGTACCATCGGAATTTAACTCTTCGCTTGCTGCTGGAGATGGGGACTGATCGCTTATGGGGGTGTCCCGAGTGATGTTGATTCTTAATTCAGCATTCAACATAAGCTAACACTAATCAAAGATGTCTGCGTCTGTAAGATATTCACAGCTGGAACCAGTTGATGACACACAATGCTAATAAACAACTCACTGCTGCCATGTACCATTTGTGGAGGTGGACTGAACTGTGATCTGGTCACCTGACTGGTTAGGACACGGAATCTCATTGGCATGTCTTAAAGGATCTTAAATGTTTCCTTTTGTGTATAGATGTGGCTGTATGAGTTGTTCTGGATGTACAGTGGAAAATTTATGTATGTGTGTGTGCATTAGTGTATGCGCATTTATATAGTTTATGAGCCATAAGAGACAAAGACCACTTGTCATTCAGTGAGATTCAGTGTGTCTTAATCGAGGTTTCAGCTTCACTGCAATCAGGTTTCCCCATACTTGCTCCATTCCTGTGCTAGTGAAAATCAAATGAAATTTCCCTAACTGTCCCATTTGAAAAACTGGTGAACAGTTAGTTCCAGCACAGTCCAAAAATATGCACATGCAATAAATGCAAATGGCAGTTGCTAGAGACACCAAAGCCAAAAGTCACCACCAGAAATGTTGTTTGTCATTAATGAAAGTAGTCGGGCACAATAAGTTGGCTGTTTACACGTACACCGGCTACCGGCCCTATTGAATACCTCGACACAACTGCTGCACAAAAGAAAGGCATTGAATGTGAAAAACACAGCTCACAAGGCTGCACCAAGCACTAAACTAATTAGCCTAGGAAGCGAATCCGTAAACTTCCATCCATATGTGGAAACTTTATTAACAAAGCTCTGTAGGAAGCCTAAAATAACTTCGAAGCTAAACATTCTGCCATGCCAAATCCTCCGGTATAGACAGAAAGTTTCCACTTCTTTAGATTCAATATGTATGAGTGCAAATGTTTTAGAAAGTTCTTTGGCAGTGTCGAAGGCAGACAATAAGCACACCAGATGGTGGATTTACTGTTGTGAGCTTTCTAGCTTTTTAATTTAAATTTCATTGTCATCTATCCCATCTTGCTGGACCATGAACAAAGAGGGTGTACCCTATCTGGATAAATGTTGTGCAACAGGCACCTATGTATACTTATGCCAATGGAGCAGAAAAGCATTGTTAGGGGTGTTCTTGTAGTATTTTTCTGGCTTCTTGGGGATCTTTTACCATACTGTTAGTTGAGATCTTTTACAGAACATCTCAAACCATTCCCTAGTTGTTGACTGTTTGTGGCTTTACTACATAATTTTGTGTTCATTAATTTGGTATTGCTTTCTGAATGGTTGACTCTCATACCATTGCCAAATTTGATCTAAAGCAGTTTGCTGCCAAACCACTTGCAGCTAAATCAAACTGTATAATGAAACATCTCCTACTCTTATTTACCACAAAATGTATTTGTTTGGGAAGCTAGTAGTAGGGTATCAGGCTAGTGTCTGGCCCTGCAAATGTGCTGTTGGCTGTTAACTGTAATTTTGAGCTTGAGATATTTTTATTTGTTACCTATAGCCAGTTGATAACTAGTTTTCTCTATTTTGATGGGGAGTTCAGAGCTGGTCCAGTCTTTTGGGAATCTGCTGATTCCATGCTGCAAGTCTGCTTCTGAGCTGGAATTTAGAGCTCAGATTAGTTTACCATCTGTTTAGTAGTTTATAACTAGGTCTAGATCATCATCATCTCTGAATGCAAGGGAATGTTGAATAGTATCAGTATGAACATTATTCTTTGCTTAACCGTGAGGCAGGGCAAGAACCTGAAAATGAACCATTTTCCTACACTTTGGTATGTACTGCTTCATTGAAATATACTTTTCTGACAAACTATTGAAGATGAAGCTCCTTGAAATTCTCCCAGACCCTCTTACAGTTGACTGTTAACAGTTTTGTAAAATTGAGTAGGGAGTAAAGGTTAGCGTTTTGTTTTTGGTATTTCCATTTAAGCCTTTTGGTGGCAAACACTAGATTTGCGGTACCAAGTTCTTGTTAAAATCTGCATTGGCTCTTTGGAAAGAAGTGTTTTTTTTTAAGGTATGTCTGCATATGCTGTAGAGACATAAATATTGCTTTGACTTGGTGTGTTTTGGTCTGATCTAGGTGGATACCCTAGAGGAAAGACTGGCAGGAACTGTTGATGTTTTATTGTTTAATCCACCATATGTTGTCACCCCTTCATCTGAGGTATTCTGTTGTTTTAGTTTAAATAACTGTTTAGATTGTCTTTGTGTATTTTATTGTGCCTGTCTTCTGTTCCCTTTATGTCAATGCTGGTAGAATGTTGCTCTTATGATTACCAAAGTATGTGACTGATATGGTGCTTAGAATGTATACACAAGACTATTATACTGGGATACATACATTCTTGCTTCACTTAAAAAAATTATATGTATCATCAAGGGTCAGAAGAACTTTTTCATTGGATATGAGCACCAATACAATACTTCCGGTTCTGACATTGATAGGGATTGGATGAGGATTGAGAACTTGGCTAATTTTGACCATTCTCGTTGCCATTTCTCCTCCCGTTTTGATGTTGCAAGATTGTGGAAGTCTGGTTTGTAGCCAGAGCTACTGAGTTTAGTGCTCCGTTGGGCACTATGAGCTGTGATTATTGGTTATTGACTGAGTTCTAGATTCATACATAATGGCTATGATGGGTGATGTATTTTTCTTTGTTGTGTTTCTGGGACAAGGTGTGGACTATAACTGCTATTTATTTGCTGGCCGTGGCTGCAACTTCACCGAGGACATGTGGAGAATGGTCAGCAATAGTTTGAATCTACTCATGTGGTGAATGGACAGCAATAGTTTGAATCTACTCATGTGGTGAATGGTCAGCAATAGTTTGAATCTACTCATGTGGAGAATGGTCAGGAATAGTTTGAATCTACTCATGTGGAGAATGGTCAGGAATAGTTTGAATCTACTCATCGTCCAGCTATTCGTCGAATGAAGTTGATTTTCAGCGATAACGCCTGGCAGTCTTTGGAATCATGAGTAATCCCCACCATGTTTTTTTGGTCAACATTTGTTTCCCATGTAAGTTAGAAGAGTACAGCAACATGTACAGCATTTAGTTGCAAGTTACTGATACTTACTAAGAAATGTTGGCCACACATTTTTGTTGCCATTGTGTATGTTGTAGACTGGGTAGAACATATCTAACTGCATAGGCTTCAGGTACATGGCTGGCTAGTTTGAAAAAAAAATGTATGTGAAATATTTGTAGCCTCAAAGGTTATCATACTTTAGATAAACTTATGCAGTCAAAACAGCATTTTCCTGTTGTTAATTTAAATATTGAGGAGACAATTTGTTGCCTAACACGTCTAAATAGGTAGCTCAGATGAATCATCAAATGACACCTCAAACCACCTATCCCAACCTCTAGCAATATTTCAGTGTCTAAACTTCAGTTATTTATTTATTCACTTAGCATTTTGTGAGAACAACATAGTGCAGTATCTAAAGGGCCAACTAAAAACCGCTGTTGGTTAAACGTTCTGTGGCACTGTTTAATGATTAGATACAACACCACCTTTTGTTTCCCAATCTAACTTATTAAAGAAATGTTGATTTTATATAACCCCTTATCGGAATATCTATATTGCTGTCTAAATAGGTGGATGTTCCAGTGGAATGAAGTGAGATTTCACCAAAGGAGAAGGTGTCATTTGTGCCGTGGGGGGGGGTTAACACTCTGGGGTAAATGGAGAAACGTCGCTGTAGCTATGGAGTTGCGTGCAGACGGTGACACAGGCAGACAGTTTCTTATTAGCTGTGTGTACTAGTGGCAGAGCATTTATGGTTTATAACACTGTGTAATGATGCTGGTTCACATCTCCTGACTTTACCTTTGTCATTTGTACTATGTATAATAATTATTGTGGGCTTGATTAGGTGTATTTTGAGATCTAATTCTCATCTCACATGTTAATTTACCTTGCATTTGATTTCATATGTGGGACATCAGTTTAGCAGATCTCAGCATATGCTTCAAAAAGTTTCTTTGCTGAACCATATTGAATATGAAATCTACAAGTAAGTGTATTCTCAGAGGACGGGAGAATAGATCTAGAAATAGAAACAAGATGCCAGTGAGCCTTTACTTATATACCACCTGACACCATTATAATGACATCCAAACATTTGTATAAGTGCCAAGAAATAGATTACCAACAGCATGTTCATACCAACACGGCTACCAGTGCCACCAGACCTGGACATTGTCAGAGGTTAACCTACGTAAAATTAACATTTGGGAAATGAGATGCCTGAGAAAAGCCACCATCTTGACGATTCGAGACAAAGTTAGAAATGATATTATCAGACAGACTTTAGGAACAACTCTGTTCGTTAAGAAATAGAAGAACAAATGGTTTTGTCATCTAGTAAGAATGCAGCCAGAACAACTACCAACACAGGTGCTACACATGAAAAGATCTGAAGGGAAAGCAGAGGTCACCCTAAGAGAAGATGGACTGATGACATTAGAAAGCATCTCCATCTACAAGGAATGACAGTAGCCATTGTTGCTCATCAAGCAATATATCATAAACTGTTAACGACACCTACGGGCAGAAGTGGAAATTGAAGATGTTGATAGATCATCATGATTGTCACACAATCTTTGTTTTTCTTTTTATAATTGCCTTCTGTAGTAATTGTAGCCTATGTTATTGGTCTTAATGCCTAAACTTGTTTTTCTGCCAAAGATTGCCTCTGCTGATATAACTGCATCATGGGCAGGTGGTGTCAGGGGAAGAGAAGTGACAGATAAACTTTTGCCAAAAGTGAAATCTTTGCTTTCTTCAAATGGAGTGTTTTACTTGGTTGCTATACAAGAAAATGATATTGGTAAGAGGTACTTTCTCTGTGTGTTACCTTTATAAGAAACTAATTTTCAAAATAAGAAGAATTTGAGGCTGAACTGAATACTGAAACTATTTAACTGAACTATACTCAAAGCAGTCCTCACCAGCAAGCCTGTTAGTCATCAGCATCCCTTTATGTTGGGAGGTATAAAGGTTAAATCCTTGTTGGTGTTTGACTGTGTGATCCATTATTGTATATGTACCTGGGCTTCCATCACTTGGTCCAGTACCATGTAGCAGTGTATGCTTGCATTCATCATCAGTTGTGCTGTTCCATTTAAAGTTGCTCTTTGACCTGACTTTGGTGGAAGTCATAATTTTTTCAAACATATCTGTAAGAGATAAACATTCGGTTTCATCAGAGACATTATAGAGTCAGCTGCTGTTTGAGTTCATTTGTATGTTCACTGAAGCTTGCTGTGTCCAGAGTCTGAAAATTTTGTTCTGGCCCTTCTTTGTTCATTGATTATGTTGTCTTTGATGACATTCATTTGATACTTTTTTTTTCTCAATGTTATCATTGGTCCAGCCTTACAACTAAGTTTCTTTATCTACAATTCTGATTATCCACTTTGGCTGCTTGAGACTTATTGGATGAGTACAGAGTCCTTTTTATTATATCATCAGTTCTGTAATTATAATTTCTCCTACTTTACATCTGATGCATTTCTTTGTTGGGTGGCTTCAAACATATTGTTAAAGTAGGTCACCCTTTGTGTTTTATCATGTTTATTTATGGATTTTTGACTTTGTCATCACAGACACAAAGTGTTTTTGTATTGTTTTTTTTTTATTTTGTTGAATTTTATTTTTGCAGTAACTCTTTTTGTATGAGATGGTAATTAATCTCACTCTTGTTATCCTAAGATGTTCTAGTTTGAAGTGTAAAACACCCAGTGTTTAACGTTGAATCCACCAAAGTTAATATAACTCTATGGAAAGAACTAAGCTGAAAACTGGGATATAATGAGTTAATTTTTTTAAAACAGCTACATATTACTGTAACACTTGTGATTCATAGCTGCTTAGCTGAATTGATTCAATAAGTCTAATTGTAAATTCAGAACAAGGTTACATTTAAGTTCCGTGAAACTGCTTTTGGTAGCGTAATAATATAACCTGATAACTGAACTGGAAAAAAAAAAGGCTTTTGAAAGTGAATTTTATAAACCACTTTCTAGTTTAGAGGATTAAAAAAAGTAATCTGAAGCTGCTTAACATGATGTTTTACATTATATCAGGAGACAATGAAACAATATCCCTTAAGACATATAATAGTTTTTTTTTTTTAAAGCCAATATATTGTGTGAATTCTTAGATGAAGCAGACAGAGAATCATGAAAACACGCTCAAATGAGAAACAAATGAATTACGGAAGCACAGGCATAAAAAATATTGATAGGAGTAGTCATAGTTTCCAGACTTGACTCCATTCATGATATTGAAAGGATTACACAGGAGCAAACACAAGGGAGGAATCGACTGTGAGACCTGTATAAAATATAAACGTCGTAACAGAATCGTATTCTTCTTCTTCTTCTTCGATCCTTCTGTCAGAAAACATATCAGGAGGCCGTGATAATTTAGACACTAAGGATATGATTTGAAGCCATAGATAAATTGTTCATGACTGATGATGTACTTACTATTATGTCTGCCACTTTTACTTTGCCAGCTCAGTTTTTAGCACTTATTTTAAAATGCTGGATTGTTGAGTCCTAGACAGCAGTTGGGTAGATGCAGTCTTTGACATGAAGAAATCCAAATATCAGTTGAGGCATAGTAGTGTAATAAAACCATATTTACGATGATTAAACTTGCTGCTCCTGTGCAATTATTCCAGTGCCTGACTGGCAGTTTTCTTAAATACATATTTATTTCACAGATGATATACAGCAGCTGATGTGCAAGAATGGTTTCAGAATGACTTGTGTGGCATCAAGGCGTGCTGGCAGAGAATTCTTAACAGTTCTTAAATTTGTCCGCCAATAAATTTTACCAGGATTCAGTCATTTGAAATGTTGATAGTCGCTCAAGACAGACTGAAAAATAATCAAATCTCTTTTTTGTGTTCTAGGACAGCTGATAGAAGCTTGATTTATGTGTTAAAATACAAATCCAGGGAATTGAAACTTATGACTATCAATCAGACAGCAAGTCTGCTAGCTATTGCATCATCACAGTTCCCCACGTCACTAAAAAGATAGATTTGTTTATATTTACTAATTATTTTGTGCAATAATATACCTTTTTCATGTGAAGCAACCATCCATAATGGTGTTCTGAAAGTTTCAAAACCCTACACTTGTTTTTGAATTTTGTATAAATTTTATTTAAAAAACCAGTCATTTTGAAAAAATCTCCAAACACCCTTGGTAATGGGAGGCAATAATGCCCCGGATTGCTGATCTGGAAAGTGTTGTGTGGTCTTCACTGTGATCACTAACAACTCACACAAAAAAAAACAAGAAACAAAAAGGTTTTGTTGAGTCACAGAGAGCAAAGTAACTTCATAAGTGTATCATGACCCCCAAAAAATTGATTTTTTGTTGTTGTCCGAAACCAGTTGGAGCTATAGTGATCAGATAATCCTGCTCTGATGTCAGTACTCTCAGTACTTTGTTGGTAGGAATAGAAGGCAGGAAATTAGAAAGGAGAGAAAGAAAAAACTGGCAAGAGGAGGACTAGAAGAAAAACTGACAGATTTTAATCTGGTCAACAAATTTTCTAAAAAATTTTGTACCAGAATTTAAATTATCATTTCTGATTGATTTTGACATGCTGATTTCAAATATTGTAATAAAATTTATCAGTTGGCACTAGTTTGTCTTTTTATTTAATGACAAATTTACATTGCAGTAATAGAAATAATGCATGCTTTTTTAAATCCCTTGAGTGAACAGTTAGTCTTTCTAGGTTCTTTTTCTTCTTCTGCCTTTCTAGCCCCCAATGGATCATAGGCCCTCAATCAACTCACGCCAAGTCATTCTGTCTTTTGCTATCGAATGCAGCTCTCCCCATGTCCTCCTGATCCTTCTAACTTCATTCTCCAGTTCCCTTCGTGTATTTTTTGGCCTTCCTTTTTTCCTATGCCTCTCAGAGTTCCAGTGCAAAGACATTCTAGTTATATTGTTCTCCGGTCTTCTCAATGTGTGTCCTATCCAACACTAGCATCTTTTCTTCACCGCTTGGTCCACTGGAGCTTACTTAGTTCTCTCCCAAAGCTCTACATTAATGATTCTATCATACCTCTATTCTGCGCAGGCACCAGTTAATGAATGTCCGAAGTTTATTAGTAATTGCCTTAGTTGTTCTTCTTATGCTCCCGCCCCATACAAAAGTACCAAGTCTGTTTCCCCCCCCCCCCCCCTTTTTTTCCCAACTGGGGTCCTCTAATGCAATAGCCTCTCAGAATCAAAGAGTTTATATTTCTTTACTTTTGCTGGAATAACTTCCAGTTTATATCTATACGTTATTGATGTTTATGTTCATGTTGACTGTAGCAAAAGCATTTTTGTTCGTAAGAGCCTTTATTGTTATATTTTAATAGCACACTTATTTACCTTTAAAATGACATATAGTTCTATAAAATATGTTGCAAAATAATGAAACTGTAGTTTAATTTCTATATACATCTCCTCGATAAAAACTGTAAACACAGAGGGACTCCATACTTGCACAAGAACGGGAATCCCTGTTGACCTATTTGGCCTTTAAATAGAGTCGGCCGTGGCGCCAACTAATGATCAGTCTAGTTAAATCTCATCTTATCACAGCCTGAGATATTAGACCTATGACTGGGGGGGGGGGGGGGCATAAAAGAAGTGCCAAAATGGGTCTTACATATTTGAACTACTCAGCTTGTTCTAGTTCTGACTTTTAACGTTAAGGTCTAATAGGATTCAAGAATTGCCAAATCTGTTTTTGTTATTTATGGGGATTTGGAGACCACTTTCTTCTATTCAGGCACTGCATTGGAAAACAGTATTCTTCGAACTCAACATGACATGATAGCTATATTGAGCACCTTTAGAAAGTATACTTTAGCTACAAGGACCGGTTTGGCAACACACCACACTGCGACCAGGGCTGTCAATGATCGTTCCCCCCCCCCCCCCCCCCCCCCCCCCCCCCCCCCAATCTGGGTTTTTTGCTTGTAAATTATGAAAAATCTTGGGTTTTCAGTCTTAGTGATGAAGAAAACTACATTTAATAAATATTTTAACAAGAATAATGTTTGTGTATCTAATTTTACTAGAACATAATTATTGGAATGCCCCAAACACACTTGAAATAAACAATGTGAAAGTGTTGGCCTGTATGCAGATCAATGTAACACTATGCAACCGTTACCTACGGGACAAGTTAACCGCCAAAGAACCAGATTTGCGATCCCTGAGTATAAGCGGTAAAATGACAGATACTAGGGACCGAAACACCATTTAGACCAAGCCTAAAACTTTTGATCATCAATTTTACAGAAGAAAGAAGCGACGTGACATTTAATAATTGAAGAGCGTTTTGGGGGCATTTTCCGTTTCCAGGGGTTACTGGCATTGTGGCGGCGCTTGAAAGAAAGTAGATAAGCAGAAATACGTCCATCTTTAGACTATAAATGTATAGCTACAGAAGGGCGTGCCAGAAAGCTACTACCGAGACCTACAGTTATCACTAGGTTTTTAGCTGTGTTGTGGTGTTTTAAATTGTGCTGCCGCAATTTACACTGATTGTAATCTTGTTGAATTCAGAATAAGTGAATAAATTACATCGCCAGATAATCAAAATTGGTATGCTCATAGGTGTTTCAAAGCAGAATGGGATTACTGAAGCTGAATTTAAAGATGAGCTAGAACAGGGTATCATCGACAAGAATTCCAATTACTGTAATGTTGTAAATAACCTTAGAAATGCAAATAAATCTACATCATTAAAACTATCGCTGTACCAAATTTTTGCTTCTTTTTCACACAGACCACCCTTTGCATGAAGCTCTGGGTACAGTTAAAGGGTCAGCGGCTGATAAGAGGGAGGTCATGGACGGCTCAGGCAGAAGACACAACCAGGCAAGTCTGCATCCTTGAGGAGATGTGAGGGTCAAAGTGCCACCTGAACAGTCAGACTTGCGTAGAGTCATAATCTGCGGGAATGCAGAGACTTGCCAGCAGGTGCCATAGAGGTGGAAATTGAGCAATTAATTCAAGATAAATCTCGCTCAGAGGATTTGATCATTTACACGGACGGTTTAGTGTCAAGAGGCAAAGGAAGTGCTTGGGGTTTCTTAGCAGAAGTTAATGGTCAACGTTTGGTCACGAGAACCTAGCATATGATACCACAACATCCAGCTTAAGAGTGGAGGCGGTCACTGTAGCTAGAGAACACGACACACACACACACACACATCGTGATTGTAACTGACTCAGAAAGCATGCTGAAGAAGATCAGAACAGGTGTGCAGAGTGGCATGCTTCGCTGCGGAGGACACGGGTGAGGAGTATTGTCTGATTTTTTCACCGGTTCACGCTGGTGTGTAAGGAAATGAACAGGCGGACAGACTGACTGGCTCTGGACAACTTGGTGGAATACTGATACATGATAGGACAGACGTGGTTAGTGCCTTGTGGGAGAGCGTGTACACTTCAGAGGAGCAGATGGATCACCACAGTCTGTTGAGATTGATGCAGGGGGGAGTGACGAGAGGTTCTGGCAGATGCTCGAGGCTCAGAGGAAAGGCAAGACGGACGTTTAATCAGAATGCTGCTGGCACCATTAGTATCGGAACTCTTCCTTGGCTGCTGAAGATGGGGACAGAGCGCTTATGGGATTGCCCCGAGTGCTGTATGTCGGTTCTTAAAACAAATCAAAATCGCTTCGGGGCCGAATAGTGGACCTAATAACTATTCAGTATTCGGCCGAATACTTGCGGTCGGGCCGAATACGAATAGTATTTATCTTACATCCGTTTCTGCATACACCGTGATGGACTGAAATAACTCTCTCATTAACACAATAGTTGCTGTTTTCTAAGTCTGTCGTAGTGAGGGAAACTACGACACATTTGCGTAGTAAAGCAGCTGGCAAGGTCTTTGCCTGCTGACTTGACCGAGGCATTATAGCAGAAGTTCTCAAACCGGGTGCGTATGCCAGGGGTGCCGCTGCGAAAATCAAGAAAAGTTGGCTATAAATTGTGACATTATTAAAGAAGGCATGAAGATACTTAAAAGTTAAAATTTAAATTGTCTTTGCTCGCCACTGTCGAAAAAGAGTATCGTTTCCTTGTTTCACACTCAAAGTGTATCATACTGCAGAAATGCCAACCGCAGCGTGCTAAAATTTGTCTTGGTACTCATTTCGAGATGCGACCGATCCTCCATCTGTATTCGTGAATGTGCAGCGGATAAGTAAGGTTGTGATTACATTTTGGCTGAAATTTTAAGGTGGAAAATGTGGTCTGTTCAATAGTAACTGTTAGCCTCGTCAAGTAAGCACTTATATTTAAAGGCAATGCGTTCTTTTTTGTTGTTTGTGTATGTATCCAGTTTTAAAACATATGGCTGTGAGTCCTGAACAATCGGTAGTAACGGCATGTTTATGCATCTTGTTCTCTAGCCACCCGAGAGCTGCAGTTACCGCTCCTCCCCCATTCTCATGCTAGATGTTGTGGTGTCATATGCCAAGCTGTCTTGCACTAAAGATTTTCCATTGGGTTTCGCTACGAACCCCCATGCTCTTCTCTTTCCTCTCACCACCGAACCATCTGTATATCTCAGATCACCTGAGAATCATGCCGATGTACTAAAAGCAATGTAGGCCTACAATTAACATGTTTATTTCAGTTAGTCTTTGTTGTGATGTCCTGGTACACAGACTAAAGGAGATTCGCGCCATCACTTAATTCGCGATCTGTGTATGAATATGTTTTCTTCCTAAACGGTTTGCGACTACGATAAACCAAGGCCCTCTGTAATTTAACTATAATAAAGCAGGTCATGGAT